CTTGCTTTTTCTTCCCCCACCCCCCCCCCCGGCCCCCTTTTTCCCCCCTGGCCGGCGCGGCGCTGGGCTCGGCAGCCTGGCACCGCCAGCCTGGCACTGCCGGGCAATCTCCCACGGCACCGGGATTGCAGCCGGTCCTCCGCGTCCTCCCCGAAGCGCGAGGAGCCGAGGAATCGCCGCGGCAGAATAAAGCGCTGGCAGGAGGGAGGGGAGCTGCCAAGGGGGCACCGACAACAGCTTTGGAAGCGGTTAAAAATTGGCAAATTCTTCCCTGGGTTTATTTTTGCGCCGTATCTCGCCCGGTGTCAGGCAGAAAATGAAAACTGTATTCTGCGAGCAAAGTTACCGCCGAGTTTACATTCCTCAAGGCTTATGGAGCTGGGACGAGGCGAGTGAACTGCTCATTTCAGCCAGGAGCCTTTTTTTCGGCTTTAAAACAGGGAAGTGGCTTTTTTTGGGGGGAAGCAGATGGCGATTAAAAAAAAAAAAAAAAAAAAAAAAGTTCTAGAGCTTGTAAATATAAAGAATTTTTTTTTTTTTGATAGAAAGCTGGAACAAAATTAGATCTCATTTCCATAAGGCCGATCGCCGTACTTCAGTGTCTGACAAACAACTTGAACGGCAGTAAAATATACCCTGTGAATGCACAAATTATGCCGTGTAACGTCCAGCATCGCGGTATGCGCACGGTGGGTTTAGCAGGCAAAGGGGATACAAGGATGGATAAAATAAACCCCTAGTGTATACAAAATCCCTGTTAAAATCGAGCTGATCCCTTGTAAAAATGATCAGGGCTCACTGAGTCCCCCCAAAAAAAAAATAAAAAAGAGGGAGAAAATTATGAAATAAAAACTAAGGGAATATCGGTGTAACTTGCTTTAATTTTATTTTAAAAAATACATAATAAATTATTTAGAGTATTATTTATCACGCTGAAATCATTTGAGTACAAGACAGACGGAGATTATGTTCCTGTTTGTTCAAGACTACAGAGCGTGCCTAAAAATACAGACGTACAGCGCACACTTCGCCCCTTAATAAACAGGAAAAAAAAAAAATCTAATTTTTGTCGCCTTCCTATAGAAAAATATGGTTATTTGAAAGGATTAAAAGCTTAAAGGATTACTCGATAACAAGGGTTAAAAATACAGGTCCAGACACAAAAGGGGTCGATAGAAATGAAGGGAAACGCTCTCCCCGAAGCACCCTCCTCCTCTCCGGGACCAAACCCAGCTCCCAGGTCGCTGCCAACTTTGCCAGTGTGACCGGGGAGCCAGGGGGGGCAAACCCCCAGCACCCCCCCCCCCCAGTGCTGGGGGTGCCGCGAAGGGGCCTGTGGCTTTAAGAGAGGCACCGGGGGGGCAGAGGGGGGAACCCGGGGGCGGGAAAGGGGTGCTGGGGGGGGGCACGGGGAGTGGGGGGCGGGGGGTGAGGGTGCTGAGGGGGCACAAGGGGAATAGGGGGGACAGGGATGGGGGGGGGCAGGGATGAAGGATGCTCTGGAGGGGCCCGGAACCCGTGGGGGAGGTGGGAGAGGGGGGGTGACCAGGGGACGCGGATGGGGGGTGTCCGTGGGGCGGGGATGGGGGTGTCTGCAGGCCGGGGACGGGGTTAGCGGGGGAACGTCCCCAGAATGGGGGGGGGGTGGGGTGGGGGGGTGCGCGTCCGTGGAGATGAGGGCGTGCGTGAGGTAGGGAGGGGGGGGGTCCGCGGGGCTCCGCGGCGCGGGCCCGGGGATGGGGGGGGAGAGGGGGGAGCGGGGGATGCCCGGGGGGCGGGGGCTGCACCCCGGGGCAGGGGCGGGCGGCCGGGCCCGGCGCTGCCCGCGGCTCCTCCCCGCTCTGCGGTAGCTCCGCACCGGGGCCGCGCCCCCCCCCTCCCTCCATCCATCCCCCCCCCCCCCCCCCTCCCTCCATCCCTCCCTCCCTCCATCCATCCATCCATCCATCCCTCCCTCCTCCTCCTCCTCCCCCCCCCCCCCCCGCGCCGGGCAGGGCCGGGGGGCGGCCCCGCGCCTCCCTCCGCAGCCAGCCGGGCCCGGGGGGGCCGCGCCGCAGCCCCCGCCACCCACCAGCACGATCCGGGGGCCGCCGTCGCGCTGCCGGGCGGGCGAGCGGGGCCGGAGCCTTCCGCCTCCTCCTCCTCCTCCTCCGCCTCCTCCGCCTCCTCCTCCCTCCCCGCCCCCGCACCGGGAGCGTCCCCTCCGCAGCGCCGCCGGTGCCCCGGGCGAGGGGAGGAGGCAGAGGAGGAGGAGGCGGAGGAGGAAGGAGGAGGAGGAGGAGGAGGCGGCGATGGGGCCGGGGCGCTGCGGGCTGCGAGGAGGAGCCGTGCCCGGCCGGAGTTGGGCTTCGCTGGGGGGGGGCGGGGGGCATGCCAGCTTTGCTTTTCCATAGGCGCAGCCCGGCCCTCCGCCGGCCCTCTCCCCGTTTTTTTTTAATTTTTTTAATTTAAAAAAAAAAAAAAAAAAAAAAAAGAGAGAGAGAGAAATTTGATTTTTTTTTTTTTTTTTTTCTCTCTCTCTCTCCCTTGCCTTCCAAAAATAACCATCGCCCCCCCTCTACCCCCAGTCCCCATCCCCCCCCCCCCGCCACCCCCGCGGCGCATGAGGCCGGGCTGGGCGCGGGCCCCGCCGCGCTCCCGCCGCTCCGCCGCCGCCGCCGCCGCCGACGCCTCCCGCCGCCGCCCCGGAACTCGCCGCCGGCGGCCGCGGGCCCGGCCCCTGTCCCGCGGCGCGGAGCCCGGCCCGGCCCGGCCCCCGCGGCGCTGAGGCCGGAGCATGGCCCCGGGCAGCGAGCCGGGGCCGGGGCGAGGGTGACCGCCCGCCGAGGACACTTTCCCGTTGCCGGTGGGGCGGGATTTTATTCTTCTTGGGGGGGTTTTTAATTTTTTCATTATTTGGGGGGCGGCGACGCTGCCTTTTTTTTTTTTTTTTTTTTTTTTTTTTTTTTTTTTTTTTCCTCCTCCTTCGGCTCGGTGGAAAACACACGTTTTAGAACAAAATACCAAAAAAAAAAAAACAACCACCCTGTTTGCTTTGCTTTTCGCAGCAACTTGGAAGCCCGTTAATTGCACTTGGCTATGGTAGGTCCCATGACACTTTCATTTTCTCTTCTACTTTCCTCTTCTCCCTCCCTCCCTCCCCCCCCCCCCGCCCTCCCCCACCCGTGTGCTTGTGTTTGCGTGTGCACCCACGAGCAAAAAGTTGGCTGCTGGGGAGGGGGGCGGCGGGGCCGGGGTGCTGCCGGCAGCGGAGTTTAATAGGGTGCCCGGGGTTGGGGGGGGGGGGGGGGCGCGGGGGCGGGAGGGGAGGGGGGTGCCGGGGTGGCGGAGGGAAGTTGCCGCCGTCTCTCCTCCCCCTGCCCACCCCTCCCCGCGGTATAAAGGGGGGCGGGGGGGGGGGGGGGCGGAGGCGGGAGCCGCCCGGCGGGGAGGTCGCGGCGCGGGGGGGGCCTCCGCAGCCCGCGGAGGGCTGGATGGAGCTGAAAATGGCCGCTAAAAAAAGGGGCGGAGAGGCTGCCAGCCGCACCGACTTGAACTTGGAAGTGACGCCCGGGAGGGTCGCGCTCCGGTCCGCGCTGCGCTGCGCGGGGCCGCCCTGCCCGCAGCCGGGGGGGGGGGGGGCAACGCAAAAAAAAAAAAAAAAAAAAAATTAAAAAAAAATCACCATCCTCGGTGTAAGCATAAAAACATTCCCCCGTCCCAGCCGTGCTGGGTTTTTCCTGCTGCGCCCTCCTGCAAGGCCACGGGGGGGGAAACGCGGCGCCGGGGCTCCCCCCCACCCACCCCCACCCCGAGTCCCCACTGGGGGGGCGAGCCGGGCCGGTGAAGTTTGCGTGGAACGGGGCTGGTACCGCCGCAGAGCCGCTGCATCCCGCGGGTGCGGGGATGCCGCTGGGGCTGGTTTTAATGCAGCGTGGGGGATAAACCCCAACCCAACCCCCCGGGTGGTGATGGTCCGGGGGGGGGGGGCCGGTAAAAGTTGAGAGTAAAAATCAGTTGTGCGGAGAGAGGGGCTGGCAGGGTGCCTTCCCTGGTAGAGCGGTGGAGAAAAGAGAAAAAAAAAAAAAAAAAGAGAAAAACAACAACAACAACAAAAAGCCTTTTTCTTCGTCGGGGAGAAGCTGGAGCCGCGGCCCCGCAGCCGGGAGCGGCCCCGCAGCGCCCGCCCGCCCCCGCCGGGCAGCGGTCCCTGCCTGCATTTCAGGTCACTGCAGGGAGCAATTAAAAAAAAAAAAAAAAAAAAAAAAGGCAAAAAAAAAAAACTAAAAAAAAAAAAATATGCGTGTCTGAAGGGAGGTGAGAGCGGGGCTAAATAAATCGCCAACCTCGGGAGGCTGCCGCCCGCCATCCTGCAGGGCTGAAACTCACTTTCACAATTAGGAGCCGGGGATTCCCTTTGTTTTTCTGTACGTGGCTCTCGCCCTCGCTCGCTCTCTAATTAGGTTTTATTAAAGCCTGCAGAATTGGTTGGTGGCGGTGGTGTTTCTGTAGTGAGAACTTGCGGTTTAGAGTTTGCCGGGCGCAGGGCTCCGCTTTTTTTCTTTCTCTCTTTGTGCGCTCGGGGCGGGGGGGACGCGGGGCTGCCCGTGGCTCCCCCCCCCCCCCCCCGCAGCACCGGGGAAGAGCGTTGAGATGCTGCCGGTCGTTAAAGAAGGGGAGGGGGGGAAGAGGGCGGAAAAATAAGCGTCTCTCCGCGGGCTGAGCGGGGATGCGGCGGGAGGGAGCGCGGGGCTGGCGGGGCGGCCCCCGCCCGTTACCGGGGCTGGGGAGTGGGGTGCGAGGGGCGTCCCCCCCCCCCCCCCCCCACGCCGGGACACCGTCTCTCGGGGCTGCTGCCCAGAAGTTGCACATGAATCTGCAGCGGTTTTTTTTTTTTTTTTTTTTTTCTTTTTCCTCTCCCCTCGCTGTATTGGCTCTGTTTATTCAAAAAAAAAAAAAACAAAAAAAAAAAAACAAAACACCACAAAACAACAAAAAAATGGGCGAGCTCGCCCGGCGCTGCCCGCGTTGCCCGGCCCGGGCTGCGCCGTCGGGGCACGGGGGGACTCGCCCCCCCCCGGGGGGGCCGTCCCGTCCCTCCCCCGCTCGCCCCTGCCCCGCAGCGCCTCGGCCCTGCGAGCCAAAGGGGGTTCCTACATCTTTAAATGGGATGTAATATTTTGGGATGGGCTTTTTTCATAACGTCACTTCATTCCTCGCTCCTTTTTTTTTTTTTTTTTCCTTTTTTTTTTTTTTTTTTTTTTTTTTCATTTTCTCATTCTTTCTTTTCACCCTCTCTCCGCTGCCCGTGTCTCGGATGGAGCCGCTTCCCCTCTAACTTCCCCGCTGCCCGCCGCCCCTGCCTTCAGGCTGGGTGCGGACCCCCCCGACCCCCCCCCCGACAAGAAGATGAGCCTTTTGCCTTTTTAAAACGCCCCCCCCCCCCCCCCAACAAATAACAACAACAAAAATTAAGCGCTTCATTTTCCAGGGGGTGAAATTTTGCTTTTTATTTTTCTTTTTTTTTTGGGAGGGTGGAAGTTGGACCCTTTTTATTTCCTCCTCGGCCCCCCCTCCCGCGGGGCCGCCCCCCCCTGCCCGGCCGCCCCCCCCCGGGCCCCGCAGAGCCGCTCCGGAGGAGAGAGAGAGAAAAAACGCCCGGACTGCTCCAGCCTCCGAAATGACTCAGTAACTTTTACGCCTCGAGTCTCAGCCCTGCAATTAGCCACTTTCCCAGCACGGCTCGGGATGTATTCGTCTCCTCTCTGCCTGACCCAGGTAACCGGCCCCCCCCGCGTCCCCCCAATTTGACCCCTTCGCCGCAACAGACTTTTACAGTTGCAGTGGAAAAAAAAAAAAAAAAAAAGGAAAAAAAAAAAAAAAAAAGGGAGAGAAAAATCAAACCCCCCCCCCCCTCGATAAAAATAATCATAACAGGGAAAGGGCGGGTTGGGGCCGGTGCAGGGCTGCTCTAAGGAGCCGCGTTTCCCTCTTGCTTCTTCCCCCCCCCCCCTCTTTTTTAGTTTTTTTTTTGGGTGTTTCTGGTGCTTTTGGGGGTTTTTCTGCCTCCGCTTTCACTTGGGGCGGGGGGGGGAAGGTTGCGTTGTGGTTTGGGTTTGGTTTTTTTTTTTTTTTCTGTGCCTGGAGGTGGGTGGTGCGGGGAAGCCACCGGCTTTGGGGCTGTGGGGGGACATGGTGGGGTGCGGGGGGTCCCTGGTTGGGTTCGGGGAGGCTGGGGGGGGTTTTGGCACTGCGGGTTTGGCCTCAACCGCGCCGCCTCTTGCGTAGCATGAAACTTTTTCCTTCCCCCCCCCCCCCCCCCAGCTTGGCTGCACATGGTGGGGTACAAGGAGGTGTGTGTGGGGGGGGGGCACAAGCTTTTACTTCAAAATCTTACGAGTTTGGGGCAATTTGCAACCGTCTGCACGATGCCGCGCTGGCGGGCAAGAGGGCGGCGGGGGTCGTGCCTGGCAGGATGTGGGGGGGCAGCCACCCCCGACCCCCCCGGTCTCCGGGCCGAGGGGCGGTGTAGGGGTGTCCGTGGGTAGGGGTGTCGAGGGGCAGCCCCGAGCTGTGCGCGTGGGGACGCCGGTGTCACTCCAGGCCACGCCGACGTGGCCCGATGGCACGCGGTGGGGTGGCCATGCCAAGGCCCGCGGTGCGGGCAAGGGGGCTGTCCCCAAAGTGTCCCCCCACCGCCGGTACAGCCGTGGGGGGGGGGGGAGACTTCGGGAGCCACCCCCCCCCCCGCCTCGCCCGTGCCATGACTTCTGCGGCTCTGCCTTTGCTCCGTCCTTATTGATCGCTGATATTTATTTAATTATTGAGCAGGAACCTTCCCCCCCCCCCCCAGCTCGTAACCTCTTCCCTGCTGGCAGCCGCTGCCTGCTCCAAATTCAGCCTCGTGCCGCACCCCGGCGAGGGCTCTGCTCTGCTTGGGGAGGGGGCTGCTGCTGGACCCCCAACCTGCCCGCGCCGGGGATTCTCCTGCCCAACCTCGGCCCTCGGCCGGAGCTGCGGGCAGGATCCGGCCCCACGGCAGCAGCTCGGCCTTGGCTGGCGCCAGGGGGCTCGGGGGGGTCCCCTGGCCGCACCGTGGCACCTGCGTGGTGCCGGAGGGGCAGCGCGGGGCCCGGCCTCCCCCGGCGGCTCTGCCAGGTGCCGAGCGGCGCGTGAGGCCGGTGGCGGTGCCGGCGCAGACACGGGCACTGACCCGGGCACGGGCAGGGGTGGGCAGCACGGGTGACCCTGGGGATGGGGCTGCCTCTCGCGCGGTTGGCTTGGCAAGGGTCACACCTCAATTTGTCTTTTTTTTTCTTTTCAATTCTCTTGTTCTTTTTTTTTTTTTTTCCTATTTTCTTACTCTTTTCTCATTCTTTTTTTTTTTTCTATTTTTTTTCTATTTTATTTCCCTTTTCCCTTTCCTTTTCTTTCCCTTTTCCCTTTCCTTTCTCCTTTCCCTTTTCCCTTTTCTTTCCTTTCCCTTTTCCCTTTCCTTTCCCTTTTCCCTTTTCTTTCCTTTCCTTTTTTCTTCTTCTCCTTTTCTTTTCTTTTCTTTTCTTTTCTTTTCTTTTCTTTTCTTTTCTTTTCTTTTCTTTTCTTTTCTTTCTTTTCTTTTCTTTTCTTTTCTTTTCTTTTCTTTTCTTTCTTTTCTTTTCTTTTCTTTTCTTTTCTTTTCTTTTCTTTTCTTTTCTTTTCTTTTCTTTTCTTTTCTTTTCTTTTCTTTCTTTTCTTTCTCTTTTCTTTTTATCTTTTTCTTTTTCTTTTTCTTTTTCTTTTTCTTTTTCTTTTTCTTTTTCTTTTTCTTTTTCTTTTTCTTTTTCTTTTTCTTTTCTTTTTCTTTTTCTTTTTTTTCTTTTTCTTTTTCTTTTTCTTTTTTTCTTTTTCTTCTTCTTTTTCTTTTCTTTCTTTTTCTTTTCTTTCTTTTTTCTTTTCTCCCCCTTTCCACCCCTCCTCTCCCACCCCAGCTCCATCCTTCCCGGGGGTCCCACCATCTCCCTACCATCCCAGCCTCCAGCTGACGCTGGGTTGGCCGAGCCTGTTGTTGCCAGCTAACAGCGCTGGTCTGATGTGGGAAGCCGTGCGGTCGCTGGCTGGCCGGCCCGGGGCTGGCAGAAGCTGTTCTGCTCACAGACCCGGGCTGTTCCCAGCGCTCGGCCCAGCCAGTGGGGGGGAGCTGGTTTTTCCTTCTGCGGATCCCAGCCTCCACCCTGCCGCCTTTGCGCGGGGAAGGCTCCGGTTTCCCCCCACTTGCCCCGGCGTAGCCTCAGCTCCCATCCAGCCCAGCTCGGATGGGATCAGACGTCGTCTGCACCTACCGGATCTGGCCCCCCGCCGCTCCCCCCGCCGCCAGCCCAGCCGTTCCCATCCCACCCGCGCAGTGGGGAGGCTCGCCTGGGCTCGGGAGCTGCGGATGGTGATGTGGATACATTGGAACGTGCGCGGGAGCCGCCCTGCCTCTGCCTTCGTGCATCTTCCCCCCCCGCTACCGCCACCACCAGCCCCTCGGGCCCCGCACGGCCACTCGGACCCCGGCTACCGCTCAGGCAGCCGCCCTGCCCGGCCGGAGCTGGTCCAAGCTGGGGCTTGGCAGCCCAGCGGCACCAAAATAGCCCTGGCAAAGGCATCGTCCATGACACGCTCCTGGCCAGGGCCTTGGCCGAGGTTCCTGTCAGGCGAGGAGGGTGACTTTGTGCCCTCCTCCGCTCCCTGTCCCTGCTTGGGGACTTCCCCCCGCTCCCCTGGCTCACCCCTGTCCCCCCTCGGGGACAGGCCGGGAAGTCAAGAGGGAACTGCCGGGATTAGCAGGGAAGCGGCACCGGCACCGCCGCCACGGACGAGGCCTCGCCCTGCCCGCGGGGAAGCGGGGGGGGGGGGGCTCTGGCTGCTGGGACTCCGAAATAACCCCAGCGCTAAAGCAACCACCCCTGGCCCTGCCCGTGTGTCCATCGGGAGCCGCTGCCGAGGAACTGGTGGTGTTTCCCGAGCCCCATCAGTTATCCCCAGCCCCCGCATCTGCAGTAGGGTTGGTGGGGAACGGGTTTGGGATGCTGCCGTAAAATCTGATGTACGGATTTTATGACCAGTGATTCTCCTGCAAACCTCTGGCTTGTCTCTGGCACCTGGCAGTCGCCCCGGCGCGCTCTGATACCCGTAGGTACCCGCAGGCTGGGAGCGAGGTGAGGTGGGAGCCGGCCTCAAAGGCAGCCAGAGCGGTGAGAGAGCCACGTGTCCCACCGGGGCGTTGCTGACACCGTCTCCCAGTCCCCAACAGCTCTGCTGGGGCCTGGGAGAGGGTCTCTGGCCAGACCTTGGCGGGACATCTGGCTCCCACCGCTTTGCTCAGATGCCTCCTTGGGGGCTGGGTTCGGTGCAGAGGTGATGCGCCCGCGTTGCCCGGCCGGCAGCCAGGCGTGAACCCCGGCGTGTGCCGCAGCCGATCCCGGGGGCACCGGCGAGCAGCCCGGCCCCGCTGGCCCGGCACGGAGCTCCGTACCGGCGAACCCCGTCAGCGCCCGGGGAAGCGGGCATGCCGCGGTGCCCGAGGGACGGAGCCGGGCTGCAGGAAGCATCGCGGCCACGTGGCCCCGTCGCAGCCGCGTCTCCCAGGTGCTGAGCGGGCATCTCGCCTCGCCCCGGCCGCTGCCGGTTGGTTCTGCACGTCACCCGGCTGCCACCGCGGGCTCGGGCACGCGGCCGTAGTGGGGAGCTGCCTGCCGGGCACGTTTCAGCGAGGCATCCTTTGGCAAGACTCCTTCCCAAAAGCGCCATGGCTTTTCGGCGAGGGAGGGGAGCGGTGGTGCTCGCCCCCTCCACCAGTAGCTCCAGCGAACTGGTTTCCAACCGGGAGCTCAGATCAGCTGCCAAAGGATGGGAGCAGCAAGCCGGGCACGGCGGGGGGAGAGAGGGAAGGTTGCAACACACTTTCAATTCTCCCATCTGCTGAGTATTGTTTGGGAAAAACAATGAGGCCGTTCTTTAAATGTAACCTTCGGGAGATCCTCGCTTTCCCCGCGAGGCGCCCGCCGCGCCGTGCCCGCCTGCCCCGGCCAGCCTTGCCCTGCCGCTTGCGCCGGCAGCGCTGCTGAGGACCCCGCTGCTTCTGCCCGATCTGATCTTAAATCCCGACCTGGGGAAAAAAATAGATGCTGTTTTAAGTGCGGTTTGTGAAGGCAGATCGGAGGGCTGGGAGGGGCGTGCGGGGTGGCGGGCAGGATGAGGCCTGCTGCGTGAGAGATGCCGTCGGGTGAGAGCCGAGCGGCTGGGTGGCCGGCGCTCGCGCTGCGCCACTCTCCACCGCATCACCTTGAACTCGGCTCGGGCCTCACACGGTAAATCAGCCGCCCTCCTCCAGCGCGCCGAGGCACCCGCCAATAATTCACCTTCCCGGGCAGCTCTGCCCCTGCCCGCGCTTCCCTCCATTCCGGGGCAGGGAGTGAACCCACCGCGTGCCCAGCGCTGCAAGCGTGCGCGCGCTTTTGCAGCTCGCTGAACAAAGCCCAGCTGCCAGGGCCCAGCTCGCTGCCCGGCTATCTTGAAGCGAGCGGGGGATAACTCCCTTTCGGTGCTTCTTTTATTCCGCCGAGCCCGGGCGGGCTGGGGTTGGATGCTGGGAGCCGTAGCCTGCGCCTGTTCCGACCCGGTGGTCTCTCCCCTCTTGCAGGGGTGGCTGCGGCATGACCGCTGCGGACGGGGCAGCGCCAGCGCCGGCGTGGCGAGGCTGGGTGGGCAGAGGAGCCGTGCTGGGGGCCAGCCGAGCCGGCTGCGCTCCCCTCGGC